TCTCCTAATCCGGCCCCGCCTAGGACACCCGCGCCTAATCCTTCTCCGCGTAGGTTTCCGTCTGCGTCACCCCACTCGCGCGCCTGTGTGTGCGCTCCATCCCAGCTGGCCTTCCCGCGCGCATCCGCGCCAACGTCCAAGCCCCAATCGCCTACTTCGCACCCTCGTGCACCCGCAGTGCCATGTACGTCCAACGTATCGCCCGCGTCATCGCACCCCGCGTCACCGCCGTACGTGTCCCACGCGTTGCCGCCTACGCTCGATTCCCCGGCGCCTTTCTCACGTTTGCCCTGCGACCTGTGCCTTTGCCGTCGCCCGTGCATCCGCGTACTGCACCATCTCTTGCGTGATCACTCGACCACCCGCGTGCACCTTGTCCCATCCGACTGCCAAACGCCAATGCGTCCCAGTCGACCCCCGCGTCTTTCTCGACTGCAATGCATCCACATGTATCCTGCTCCATCCAACCGCGCGCATCATGGGCCGATGCGCGCCCTTCACCTAATACCCGATCACCGTCGTCCTTCTCCGTCGGCTCGACCCATGGGTCCCAACCTTTCAACCTCACACAATCTTCTGCTGGTATCCACCACCCTTCTTCAACCCATCACAAACCTCGCCTTCTAGCCTCCTTCATCCGTGCTCGCCTTTTCCTCGCACAAGGCTTGCACCCACAAAGCGATTCCTTAGCCTTCGGTTTACGTTTCCTTCGGGCTTGCTTGGCTTGGCGTTTCCTAGACTTTACCCCTAGCTTCAGACCACATCCTTTTGGCCAATCTCGCACACATGATGGCTGGTATATTGGACTTGTCGGCTCCTCCAGCATGTTCTCCAGCCATATATTGAGATCGTCGCCACCTTCATCCTCCGACTCGCCTGGGTTGATGACCACTTTCGTATCACGTGTGCTGGGGCGCTGGCAGTAGTGCACAGTGCCCAGCAGACAAGCAGGGTTTCAAATAGGACCGACCGATTTTAAAAGTACTCGACCAATTTACTTGAAATTTTTACACATTAAAATAGACCCAGAAAGGCATATTTTCACAAAATTTTAGACCCAACACTTCATTTTAACCTAAGCAACCAATTAATCGATCAAATCTCAAGCCCTAACATGCAAATCAACTAAGGCTTAACACATATATCACATACACATATAAAATAAGGGGGGGTTTCAGCCTTGTACCGTTCTCGGGAAAATTAAACGAAATAAGGGCTGAACAGAAGCGAGGAGGGCTGCGAAGGCGCGCTCGGCAGAAGGCGTGGCTCGCTCGCCCGACTTGCGGGGCAGCTGGGCAGCAGGCGCTCAGCGGTGGCGGGCGATGGCTACTGCGTGACTGCTGGGGGTCGCCTGCGAGGTCACTAGAAATGGCGACGGGCAGCGCTGGTACCAGGCTTGCGACATGATCGGAGAAAAGGGGTCGACGACGGCACGGACCACACGAACAGGGCCAGCGGCGAACGGCGACAAGGGGCTTACGAGGGACAGCGACAGAGGCGATGGGCTGGGGCGACGTCGCGATGGCCACGGCCGATGAGCAACGGCGGCAATTGAAAAAAAAAAAGAAAATGGAAGAGCGAGAGAGATGAGAGAAAAAGAGAGGAGGATGGCTGCGGGGAGAAAAATATTTTGACGAAGGAAGGGAGTCCAATCTCTCCTATATATAGAGCTAGGATTAGGGTTTTAGGAGACTCCATAATTAAGCAAACTTTCCAAAAATCAACCCAAAGGAAAGAGGAGGGTCGACCGGGTCTTGGTCGCGGGTCACGGGCGCGGGTTGGGAGCCATGGGCGCGACTTAATGCTCGACCGGAAGCTCGGTTCGGTGAAATTTAAATAAATAAAAGAAATATAAATAAAAATAATATTTATAATTCACGTTTATAATATTTATATAAATTTACAAAAAACACATAATATTCATTTACGCAATTAGACAATTAAATACAAAACGACACATAATAACAACAACAATTAATAATAATTGCAATAATAATAATAATGACAATAATAATAATAATAATAATAATAATAATAACAATAATAATAATAATAATCCATTTATTTATAAACGAACGGTGCGTTACAGTCTACCCACCTTACAAAGAATTCTGACCTCGGAATTCGAAAACAAAACTATAATGCGATAAAAAAATACAAGAGGAACTCAAAACTCAAAGTTCGGATAACGCCTCCTGATATCGTCCTCCCTCTCCCAAGTCGCCTCGGTCTCATCGTGTCGGCTCCACTGCATCTTCACTAAGCTCACTGCACGGTTCCTCAGCTGGTGGACCTTTCGGTCCAAAATGACTGCCGGTACCTCCTCGTAGGTAAGGTCTCGCTCGACCTGCAGCTCGCCGAAGTCCACCACATGATCGGGGTTATGAACATATCTCCGAAGCATCGAGACATGGAAAATGTCGTGCACTCCCGATAAGTCTGGTGGTAAAGCCAACCGATACGCTAAGTTCCCGACTCGATCGAGGATCTCAAACGGCCCAATATAGCAAGGTCTAAGTTTCCCCTTCTTCCCAAAGCGAATCACACCTCTCATGGGTGAAACCTTCAAGAAGACATGATCTCCCACCACATAAACATGCTCCTGCCTCCTCCGGTCGGTATAGACCTTCTGCCTCTCCTGGGCAGACCTGATAGTCCTCCGAATCTCCTCAACTGTCGCAGCAGTACTTTGGACAAAATCTGGGCCCGTAATCCTTCTCTCTCCAACCTCATCCCAATATAAAGGAGTCTGAACCCTACGTCCGTACAAAGCCTCGTACGGGGCCATCTTGATCGAAGAGTTGTAACTGTTGTTGTAGGTCAGCTCGACTAGCGGAAGGGCATACTCCCAAGTCAGGCTCTGGTCCAAGACCACAACCCTCAAGATATCCTTCAAGTACAGGATCGTACGCTCCGACTGACCATCTGTCTCGAGGTGAAAGGCTGTACTGAACTCCAACCTCGTCCTCATGGCTCGGTGCAACGTCCTCCATAATTGACATGTGAACTTGGGATCTCGATCAGAAACAATCTCCACGGGCACTCCATGAAGCTTAATAATGTCCTTGACGACCAATTCAACGTAATCACTCGCCTTCATGGTCGTCCGAACTTGCAGAAAATGGGCAGACTTCGTAAGGCGATCCACTATCACCCAAATCGAATCATGCCCGACCCTCGACCTCGGCAGTCCAATCAAGAATTCCATGGTGATGCACTCCCACTTCCATAGGGGAACCTCAAGGGGCTGCAACAACCCTCTCGGTTTATGAATCTCAGCCTTCACTTGCTGACACACCAGGCACCCATCCACGAACTTTGCTATCTGCCTCTTCATGCCACGCCACCAGAAAGACTTCCTCAAGTCCTGATACATCTTCGTGCTACCAGGATGGATGGTGTACGGAGCACTATGGGCCTCTCTCAGAATCTCTCTCCGCAGTTCCCACACCTTCGGAACACAAAGTCTACCCTCAAAGACCAAGGCCCCATCAGATGCGACTGCGAATCCACCAACTCTACCAGCTGCTGGCAACTCCCTCATCCGACATAAGAAACGGTCATTCGGTTGCTCGGCGACTATCCTCTCTCGAAGAGTCGGTCCCACAACCAAAGAGGCCAACATGCCCCCGGCTGTTGAAGTCGACTCCACTGCCTCTAGCTGTAATCGCTCGAATTCCCGAAGAAGGACATCCTGGCCGGTAAACAAGCAACATAGCTGGCCATAACTCCTCCGTCTAAAGGCATCGACTACCACATTAGCTTTCCCCGGGTGATAGCTAATGGTGCAGTCGTAGTCCTTGACCAGCTCCAACCATCTATGCTGCCTCATGTTCAGCCCCTTCTGAGTGAAGATATACTTTGATGTGGTCGTTAATAGAAGCTCATGAGGAACCGGTTGTGATGTGGTCGTTGGTAGTAATTCATTAAAGACCGGTCGTGGTTCGGCCATCGCATTCATATGGAGAGCACTTCACGCCCAAGTGTGCGGCACTTCCAAGTGTGTGGCACCTCCAAGTATGCGGCATCCTCAAGTGCACGACACCCCCAAGTGCGCGACACTCTCGAGTGCGCTGCACCCCCAAGTGCACGGCATTCCCAAGTGTGCGGCCCCGGGTGTTCGGTGTTAGAGAGTACTTGGCATTTAGGCAGCCCGGCCCGAGGGCACCGTCAAAGGGGCTGGGACTTGATATTGGCATTGAGATCAAGTTACGAGAAGGTTAACAGCAATAAGGACTCTAGAGACAATAGAGATAAACATCAAAAAGACTTCTTGTCTCAGGAGGACTCTCAAAGTTTCTCCTATAAAAGGAGCAGGTTCTTTCATTTTTACACAACACACATACACGAGTTATCTCGTTACTCTGCCGTTTTCTCTCTAGACCATCACTTACTTGAGCGTCGGAGTGTTCGCCCTGGGACCACCCCCGGTGTGCTTTGCAGGTACCGACGATCAAGGAGACGCAACCCGGTTGAAGAGGAGTGGTCCAGCGGTTCAAGTATTTGTGGTATAACAAATTGGCGCCATCTGTGGGGAAAAGAATCAGTCTTCTATCGGAGCATTAAAGGCTGTTTTTTCTCACCAAAGAAGAATATAACAAGGATCATGGTAGGATATAATCCGAAGAAGAGCTTGACTAAGGAGATGGATGAGGAGTGGGCTCGGAGGGCCTTCGGGACAGGCCCCCGCCAGGATGGTCACCATCGCCTGTCACCCCCAAAGAGACGTTGTTGGGCCCAAGTGTGACCTTGGTACCACCATCAGAAGCCCAGGGGCATGCGACGAACACGAGAGAATCGGGTGGTTTGACAGACAAGGGGAAGGAAGTCGGTGCCACGGTTGACGGGGTGGTGGATCAAGGGGCCCTGGGATCCGGAGGTGCTGGTGATCAGAACGGTGCCCTTGGTAGTAGGCAGTTGGTCGAGGTAGGAGCAAAAAACCCTCCGGGGGACAATGTTTCTTCGGCACCGCGGGAAGACCCGGTTATTCAAATGACCAGGTCGAATTTGGACAGGATCATTGCGGAAATGAAAGGTCGGGCTCAGGAGGTGGATAAGAGAGCTCCAAATGAGTCATTCAGACAACCTCTGCCGCGGCAGCTGCTAGCACCTCAACAACAGGTCCCCTTGCATCAACAGCACCAGCGCGTGGAGAGGGGCGACGAGGATGATGCCAGGTCGGTGACCTCCCACCCGGTGGCAATGACACAACCGGAGGGGTTGACCTTAGAAACGCTGGCAGCTCAAATGCAGGAACTCCAAGCTCGGGTTCAGGGTAAGAGACCTGTAGTTTCGCGAGGACACCCTTTTGCAGAGGATGTCCTAGGAGGGGATTTGCCTAGCAACTTCAGGGAGTTGAGTTTGTCCTATGACGGATCGGCGGACCCAGCCAGACACTTGAGATCGTTCGACAACATAGCTGTGCTGCATAGGTATAGTGATGCTGTGTGTTGTCGAGCCTTCTTGACGACATTAAAGGGGTCGGCGCAGGATTGGTTCCATCAGCTGCCAGCAGGATCTATCGATTGCTTTGAAAAGTTCAGCTCTATGTTTCTCAATCAGTTTGCAAGTGCCAAGAAGCACGAGAAGACATACCTCTCGTTGATTAATATGCAGCAAAAGAAAGGGGAGACCTTGCGGCAATACGTAGCGCGGTACACTAAAGAATGCGTGGAGGTCCCTTCTGCCTCGGAAGAAGTCAAAGCTGGAGGTCTTACTCGAGGATTGAGGCCTGGGAAGTGTAAAGATTCATTGGCGAAGAGGCCGGCGAGGTCCTTTGACGAGTTGCTTGAAAGGTGTAGGAAATATGTGAACATGGAGGAATCGGAGGCGGACTTTATCCGGAATGACAAAATAAAGGCTAAGCAGCCAGAGGAGAGGCCTCGACAGGGTGATCGGCGAGCTGCCCCTAAGGAGTCTCGGGATGAGGACCGGTTCAGGGGTCCAAGGTATGAGCACTATAAACCACTTAATGCTCCACAACAGGAGATCTTGGAGATGATGGAGAAGCGGGGGGAGGATAAGCTGCTCGCGCAACCGAAGCCTTTGCCTCCTCCACGAAAATTTTCAGCATCAAAGGATAGGTATTGTCGGTACCACCGAGACTATGGTCACTCTACTAACTTTTGTCGAGAGTTGAAGGATGAGATTGAGCGGCTCATTAGAGCCGGTTATTTGAAGGAGTTCGTGATCAGGGATAGGGAGCGCCAAGAAAATTGCCGGGAAGGCCGTGAGTCAGGGGACAAACGGCGAAGGACTGATGAGCAGCCTGACAGACCGGTGAAGAAAGGTATCATACACATGATCGCGGGAGGTCCTACGGATGGAGACCCACATAGAGAGAGGCAGAGGACCTACCGGGGTAAGGGTGTGGCTAATGAGGTGGCTGAGGTGTAAGTGCAGAGGAGCTTGGCCACTTTGAAGTTTGGAGCTGACGATGTGCAGGGGCTTGTCGTCCCACACAATGATGCCTTGGTCATCACGGCAGAGGTAGCCAGTTACGATGTGCAGAGGGTACTCATAGACACAGGGAGCTCGGTGGACATCATATTCTTGAAGTGCTTGCGGCAGATGGAGTTAGACGTGAAGGTCGATCCGGTCCATACTGCCCTTTATTGTTTAAGTGGCAGTGAGGTCCGTCCCGTTGGTGAAATTAGTTTGACCGTGGCTTTGGGAAGGTCGCCATTGATGAAGGTGAAGATAGTTTTTTTTTTGGTCGTGGAAGCTAGCTCGGCCTATAACATCATACTGGGGCGGCCTAGCTTAAATGCATTCCAAGCAGCCATCTCTACATATTGTATGAAGATCAAGTTCCCAGTGGGGGATGAAGTTGAGGAGGTGACTGGAGACCAGTTGCAATATCGGTGGTGCTATGAGGTTACATTGAAGACGGCCGAGGCGCAACATAAAAGGAAGAATGATGACGTGCCAGAGTGCTCCCGTCGGGAGAAGAAGCAAGAGTTGGGAATTAGCTCCCAGGACGAACTGATGGAAGTTGAGCTGATAGAAGGTAATCCAAAGAAGATAACAAAGGTAGGACGTCACTTGGCAGTTGACCTACAAGGTGCGTTGATTGCACTATTGAAGGAGTTTGTGGATGTCTTCGCCTTTTCGGCTGACGACCTCACAGGGATCGATCCTGGGGTGGCGGAGCATAGGTTGAACATTGACCCAACTGTGAGACCGGTAAAACAGAAGAGGATGCACATTGGTGCCGAGTTAGACGTGGTCATTGAGGCAGAGGTGGAGAAGCTGTTGAAGGCAGGGCATGTACAACCTATTCAGTTCGCGGAGTGGTTGTCCAACTCAGTTATGGTACGCAAGGGGGAAGGAAAGTGGAGGATGTGTATAGACTTCAGGGACCTCAATAAAGCTTGCCGTAAAGATCACTACCCCCTACCACGTATCGACCAGCTCATCGACTCTACGGCTGGGTGCGAATTGTTAAGCATGATGGACGCCTCTCAAGAGTACCACCAGATCCCTCTGGCCATGGAGGACCAAAAGAGGGTTAGCTTTGTGACATCCAAGGGTACCTACTGCTACATTGTCATGCCCTTCGGATTAAAGAATGCGGGAGCTACTTATCAGCAGTTGGTGGATAAGATGTTCAAAGGGCAAATAGGGCAGAACATGGAGGTCTATGTCGATGACATGCTAGTGAAGAGCAAGAAGGCGGACGATCATGTGGTGGACTTGCGCGAGACATTGAACACTTTGCGACGATATGGCATGAAGCTCAACCTGACCAAGTGTAAATTCGGGGTGCGGTCGGGAAAATTCTTGGGCTATCTGGTGACGGAGAGGGGCATCGAAGTCAACCCAGAGAAGGTACGGTCCGTCATCGAGATGCAGCCACCAAGGAACTTGAGAGAGGTGCAGATCTTGACTGGGCGCCTAGCGGGGTTGAGCAGGTTCATCGCTCAATCCGCCGAAAAGAGTTTTCATTTTTTTAAGGCATTGAAGAAGGGGTCGCGGTTCGAGTGGACGTCTCAGGCACAACATGCATTCGACAGGTTGAAGGAGTTCTTAGCTGAGCTCCCTCTACTTACAAAGCCGGAACCTGGCGACACTTTAGTCATATACCTATCAGTAGGGCATGAAGCCATCAGTTCCGTGTTGATAAAGGAGGAGCGTGGGCAACAGCCAATATATTATGCAAGTCGGATATTGCAAGGGGCCGAGCGTCGATATTCAGATGTGGAGAAGGCCGCCTTGGCACTCATCTCCACTACGCGGAAGTTGTGCCCCTACTTTCTAGCGCATAAGGTCATGGTGCGGACCAACTACCCACTCAAAGATACTTTGGGTCGTCCTTCGGCCTCGGGAAGGATGGTGAAGTGGGAGGTTGAGCTCGGCGAATATAATGTCGACTTCGAGGTGCGAAAAGCTATTAAGGCTCAGGCGTTAGCCGACTTCATACAAGAGTGCACGTTGGGAGGTGAGAAGGGACCATGGATGGTATATGTCGATGGTTCCTTGGCCGTAAAAGGAGCAGGTCTTGGCATCTTGGTGGTTACACCCGAGAAGGATCATTTGGAGTTCGCGGTGAAACTCTCATTTAGGGTGTCGAACAATGAAGCAGAGTACGAGGCCCTCATCAAGGGGATTCAGCTCGTTTTAAAGGAAGGGGCCCGACAGGTGATCATTCACTCAGACTCTCAGCTTGTGGTCGAACAGATCAGTGGCGAGTACGAGGCTAAGGAGGAACGCATGAAGAACTATCTGGTGGAGGTCCATGCGATGCTGAAGGGGTTCGCAACTTGGGAGTTGATACAGATACCGCAAGGAGAAAATGGTAGGGCTGACCTACTCTCAAAGGTGGCCACATCACTTGGGGATTTCCGATCTCGGTCGGTGACACTGATGGATATGACTAGGAGTACATTAGACCAGGTGCTAGAGGTTGAAGAGCAAAGGGATTGGAGGTCGCCCCTAATACAGTGGTTGCAAGAGCCGGTGGTAGGAAAGGATATTAGGGACGACCCGGTTGGAAGGAGGGCATTGAGGTTCTATTTGCAGAATGGAATCTTATATAAGCGATCGTACATAGGGCCCCATCTAAGGTGCGTCTCGGAGCAGGACGGGGAGTACGTGCTAAGAGAGGTACATGAAGGATGCTGTGGTGATCACTTGAAGGGTAGGGCGTTGGTCGGGAAAGTACTCCGGGCTGGATACTTCTGGCCTAAGATGAGGACGATGGCACAGGACCTTGTGCGCAAATGTAAAAGGTGTCAACAGCATGGTCCATTGATACATAAAGCGGCTGAGAACATGGTCCCGATTAGCTCGCCTCTACCTTTTACTCAGTGGGGGGTCGACATAGTCGGACCTTTTCCCCAGGCGACGGGCCAACGAAAGTTCCTCATTGTGGCAGTGGACTACTTCTCTAGGTGGATTGAGGCCGAGCCCTTGGCAACGATCACAGAAGAAAGGGTGATGAAGTTTCTTTTCAATAACATATGTTGTCGGTACGACATCCCTCGAGTGCTTATATCTGATAATGGCACCCAGTTCAGAGGTTGACGTACGATGAGTTGGTGCGAAGAGATGGGCATCAAACAACAGTTTGCCTCGGTCGCCCACCCCCAAGCGAATGGGCAGGCTGAGGTCGCGAATAGATCAATTCTAAATGGGTTGAAGGCAAGATTGGAGAGAGCCTCAGGTGCTTGGGTGGATGAGCTTGATTTGGTGTTGTGGTCATATCAGACGAAACCAAGGTCTTCAACGGGGGAGACGCCGTTTAGTCTAGTATATGGCATGAAGGTTGTCATCCCGGTGGAGATCGGCCTCAACTCAGAGCGGGTGAGCACCTACAAGGAAGAAGAAAACGTAGAGCTCCGCAGGGAGGCACTGGACCTGGTGGATGAGCTACGTGATCAGTCGGGATTAAGGACGGCGGTTTACAAGCAGCGCATGAGGGTGGCCCATGACAAGTCAGTTCGAGCTCGTCGATTCCAAGTGGGGGACCTGGTCTGGCGCCAAGCTGATGCCCTAAAGCATGTTGGGAAGTTGGAACCGAACTGGGAAGGTCCCTATACTGTTGAGACGGTATTTGCGGAGGGCGCCTATGAGCTCCGTGATGTTGAGGGGCGGCTGCTACCCCGACCGTGGAACATATCCCACTTGAAGAAGTATTATTCATAGCTAGAGACATGTTATCTTTCTTTGCTTTCGGTTGTTATTTAATTATGTTTTCGTGAGACAAGTAATAAAGTTGCATTTGAAGTTTTTCAGCTTAACTTTCCTCTTGTGTGATGTGTTTAAGGGTGATGACCTGATAGTCTCGCCTAAGCTCGCGGAGCTGGGCGACGACCTCTTTAGGGCAAAATCCTGGTAAGTCTTGCCTAAGCTCGCGGAGCTAGGCGATGACCTCTTTAGGGCGAAAGCCTGGTAAGTCTCGCCTCGCGGAGCTAGGCGACGACCTCTTTAGGGCGAAAGCCTGGTAATTCTCGCCTAAGTTCGAGGAGCTAGGCGACGACCTCTTTAGGGCGAAAGCCTGGTAAGTCTCGCCTAAGCTCGCGGAGCTAGGCGACGACCTCTTTAGGGAAAAAGCTTGGTAAGTCTCGCCTAAGTTTAAGGAGCTAGGCGACGACCTCTTTAGGGTGAAAGCCTGGTAAGTCTCACCTACGCTCGCGGAGCTAGGCGACGACCTCTATGGTTGACGAGGTCATCACGTGAAATTGAGAATATGAGTCTTGAAAGACTTAACAATAGTTGTGATAGGTGCAAAAGCCCATGGTCACAATGTTAAGTGCTTTCAGGACTTGGTGAATGAAGCGGTGTTGTTACTTGTATAGCAATAAGTTATATAAGTGCGAACAATTGAAATAAGCAAGCAACACAATAAAAGCAAAGTATCGAACGAGTTTACGGTTACATGCCCAAATAAAAAAAAAGTTTGTGCAAGGATAAATGGTTCGTGGCTACGTGCCAACATAACAAAAGAGATAATCTAGAGAAAGGTTCCATGCAACTGGGTCGATAGAGAAACAAAAAGCCATGAACGAGTGGCATAGGTAGATCTAGGAGGGGAGTGCATTGTCCTCCGGCTCGAGGACCCCCTTCGCCTCTAGGCCGACATCGGTCGCGA